GCTACAAATTAGGTCATGTTTTATGCTCCACGTTGTTGCAACGCTGGACTGTGGAAAGAAACACTTACCACCTTTGGTATCACCCAAATGCGAAAAAGAGTGTCCAACCCTCGGGCTGGTGCCGTGGTCCGGAGACTGCATCATCTGGTGAAGCTGCAATGCTGAACCTCTTGAAGGCCTGTTGCCAAAATCCGGAGATAATCCGCATTTAAAGGATTACATTTAGACTTTAAAAGTCAAATTGACTGTTTTATTTGGCAAATGCAGGCATGAGAGTTTTTATGACTCGCTTGGGAAAGTAAATAGCCTAATGCATGGTGTAAGCCCATGCCTGACCGCTTTTAATGGGTGAAGATCCCGTGACAGCCCATAATGTACTAATACTTACTGCTTTGCTGAATAATTGCTTCAACAATGCTCGGTGGGTTTTAAAAGTTCACACTAGGTGCGTTTCATTTTTACTTAAAGTCAAGGCGGGGTGGAATCAGCAAAACCAATCAAAGATGCTGATTGGTTAGTTAAAGTTTAATTACCAAGTAACCTCAAAAATTTTTAAATAATTGCTTCTTTTTACTGACCGCTCCATTTATAATCTACCAATCTACTATTAAGTCTTTCTTGGCCTTTAAGGCCTTGCCTTTGACATTGAAAGTATGCCGAATTTTTACTATAACTGTTAATAATTTAAAAGTGCTCATCTTAAGTGGTAAGCAAATTTTGGAGTTTGAGTTGCAGCGATCCCACGACTTACTTGAGGATGAGAGGTGACGCAAAGGTGGAAGGGAAATTGAGCCTTTGCCTAACAATGATAGAAGGTAGCGGCTACTGGAATGACCCACCCAGCAAGAATGCAATTGGGGAGCATCTAAGCAACTTCCTTATCCAAATCAGAAGTAAGAAAACTCAGAGTCCTACAGAATCGTGGCAGTTGGCTTCCGTTTTTTTTTTAAAGTATTTTGGATCTGGAATGGCTTAATCTCTGATGCCGAATCTTATGTCATTACCTTTCACTGGGTAGTCATTTTTTGACTTCCATAATTATCGCTGTGCTAATTTCAGATAACTTTTATGCTGTGGGCAATCAGTGCTTGCAGAGGACGCGTATTACACAACTTGTTTGTCTATTTATCAGGTTCAGTAATGGTCCACATGGCTAATATGCTGGGCGATCTGGCCCCTTTGTCATCCCAGTGGCATCCAGCCTTACAATCCGTCAACAACACAAATTCTGCCCGACTGCTGTGCCTTCTTTTATCTCCAAAACACTCTTGAAGAGGCAGAATCTTCACGTATAGCAAGAACCAACTAAGTCATGCAGCAGTCTTCTACGCTAAAGCGAAGGAGAAATGGTTGGAGGTGTATTAAAGTTCCACATACCGATATTTAAACAAGCAAGATTTGCCTCCTCCATTTTATGGAGGCTAAAATAGGCAAAAAAAAAACAACTTAGAAACATGTCTAACATAAAGATAACTGCAGTGATAGGAGCGTGCAAAATTCTACCTGGACTGCAGGTGGTCGCTAGGGTGGGGAGGACAACGTAGAATTGAGGTGGGTGGGTCGAGGAGGGGGAAAGGGGGTGGGAAGGAGGGCAGATCCCCCTTCCTCTTCCCCCACTAGCCACCCAGTTTGAGTACTTCCGGTGGGCAGGGTGCGTGAGAGCTTTTTGCGCACAAATATTGTGAGAAAAATTGTGCCAAAACAAAAAAAAAATGTGGTGAGAAAAAGAGTTTTGGTGGATTACATAGCTGTAGATTTAATGAGCAAATCGATCATTTTGTTCCCTCCTCATCCTCCCTCCTTCTTCCTTCACCGCCTCCTGTTGTGACTTGTCTCACTTTCCCTTCTACATTGAAGGTTAAACGCCATCCTAAAGCTGAATTTACTTGGCTAAAAAAGACACAAAATCTAAAGGGAAATGTATCAAGGATAGTTGCTTTTAAAATTGCAAAAAAGTGACACAGTAGTCGTTTGCTTAACCTGCCATTTTGATTTTCTTACACATTTGAAGCTCAGCCTGGATGGCACGGCCTCCGATGCTCGACAGTTGTCCCCACACATCCCTCTTGAGTGACATGCCTGTCTTAGGGGAGATCCCCTGAACTCTCTCTAGTAAACACCTGACGGGAAAGCAATCGCCACCAACTTTATAAATCCTGATGTCAGCATCAAAGAACAGTCCAGTTTGAGTTCAAGGTAGCACTTTTTAGGCGGAGCAACGCAACACTCCCCGGTCAGATACAAGAGCTACTGAAGTGATCAAGTAAATTTTAATTGCAAATGCAACGATGTAGTTGAAGTTATTTGAAGTGTTAATGACGTAGTCGCTCTCACTACAAGGTCAAGTAAGCAGCATCCATTACAAAGCTGCTCAAAACAACGTGTCTCCCTTGACCTCTCAATATCGATTGAAGAGGCATTGACAATCCGGTCGCGATGGTTGATTATAAATCAGCGACAGTGACAAAGCTGATGCAAAATAAGTGTCTGAAGATATATAATGTTTTAAATTACTCAGGAGGGATTAATTGGTCAAAATTCCATTGTTTTATAACTACATAAACAATGCGATTTTAAGAAAAAGGTCTTAGCTCTAGTATGCAGTCCCCTTTGCTTTGTTTTATAACATTTTTAGTTCCCTTCCCTAATTAGAAGCCATTCTTCCAAAAGAAAGAGACTACAGATGTAACAAGATTCTTCAATCACTTGGATACAGATTACAGGGCTGATTGTCTGTTCCCTTTGCAAAGTCAAATACCAAAATCAACTCCATTTTATTGAAGTACACTTTTTATATTATAGATAGCCTCACGACTTCCTGGCTTTTGAGAGTGTGTGAGAAACGGGCAAGAAGGCCTCTCGAGGTCTACGCAATTCATTCATCCTTGAAGGTAGTAGTGAGGATTGCGAAGTGGAAGTACATATTTTGCAACGGCTATTGCCGTTGCTGACAGAGCGTGAAGTAGGGACAGTGGCCGATGAAATGCCTGTCTACTTCAACGTCTGGTCACGCTCTGGTGAACACCACCATCCAACACTGGGACCGAAGAAGGGGGTCGAGAGAGCGGAGCAGTGATGATGAATTCCGGTGAGGAAATGTTTGTTACATTTTTTCGTCTGCGTTGAATCCAATTTTCAGTTTTCCCAACCTCTGCTGCATGCGCTTCACAATTTGGGCATAAAGTGATGTCCACTTACCGTGATAGCATCAACCTGAGAGAACGCATTTGATTTGCATTGCTGCAGACCGGCATAATCTTTTCCATGTCAAAGCTATACATAAATATTCGAGACATTGTTCGGCGCTTATTTGAAGGGCCGTGTGTGCCTACTTGCTCAAAAACATGAATTGAAATTGTGTCCAAAAGGTTCTAAATCAAAGACTCCAATCATCCAAAGATTAAAGATTAAAAGTGTCGGGAGCAAAATCGACCCCACGCAAAGAAGCAGCTGCTCAGCAGTGGACATGAACTTTTGTTTCCCTTCCAATGGAGCATCGAATGCTTTGCCACAGACCAAACTGGGATTCCTTATCTCCATGCTTAACAGCAATGACTTCAGTTTATTATTATTTTTTTCATTTGATGCGTGTCTATTAAGTTGACGAGGAGATCAAAGTCTTTAAATAAAATTTAAAGCTCAAACAGTCAATAAAGTCTATTTCTGTGGTTTTTATGCTTCTGCAGTTATACTTTGTGAACGGGCGCCTGATAATCCTACAATATCCGGAAGTCTAATGACACGGCATTATTGAAAATGCAAGACCGCGCCTGAATCGGCTAAGCTGATGTCAGGACATCACAACTGTCAAGTCTTTCATACTTATTGCACAGGACGACAATCCTCCAGCGCTAATCATTTTCCGTTCCACTATCCAATCACTTACTAACCTACACACTATTGGTTGGTTACAATAGCCAATAATAGAGCGAGGGGAGTTATTCTTGCTGTCGCCAGTCCACGCCACCTTCACGTGCAGTGATTTTGGAGTGGCAGAAGATGGATTAGATGGTAGCTTTTGAAGTCTTGATTGAAAGACTTAGCTATGCTTGAGTCCCCCTTTTATCAAAGCTTTCTTCCCTTCCTCCTCGTCCTCCTCTATGTTCGTGTATTTGCTCACTTTCCACCAAATTGCAGCATTGTTATACAGGAAAACTTAGCCAGGGGTCAACTTATCGCGCTGCCATACGTCAACACCCTAGTTGGAAATATCCAGCAGTTTAACCTACAAGTGACAAATACGAATCCCTACTTTAATGTCATTTCTGAGTCCTCAGGAGTACAAATGGCTACAAATGGACATCAACATCAAAATCCCTGGCGCATTTGGTATCCCAAAGACCCCTCCCCAATTGCTTCACCATGGTACCTAGTGACTCTGCAGGGGATTGACAGAGAACGTCTGTGCCAAACAGAGCCTGGGTGCGACTGTCACCTGGGCAACAGTCACCCAAATCGCCTAGGCACGGGTCCAGATTGCGCTCTGCCACTTCAATTAGTGGCTATTCCCCCAAAGAAGGTCGGACTCCCCTCCGTGATCGACTTGACTATCTGTATAGCTGATGAAAATGACAATCCACCCACCTTTCGATCCCCTACCTCTGCTCCTCATTTTGGAACCTCACCCACTGTGAGTATTCACTTCAAAGAGGATGCGCAAGTAGGGGAATCGATACGCCTTCCCACTGGTTATGATTCCGATGCTTATCCAGAACACACTGTAAACTCCTATAGTCTCAATTGTCCGGAAACGGACGTCCCGTTCAGTCTGATCTACGATATAGGGACTCCAGAGCGGCTAGATCTTCGAGTTGATAAACATCTCAAGTTTGCCGGACAATGGCCCCTGCATTGCACCGTGACAGCCTTTGATGGGAAACACAGTGGAAGCATGCAACTGAAAATCCACTTGGATGATGTAAACGACCACAAACCTGTGTGGAAACCACCAAGCATTCTCAGCCCTGCTATTACTCTAATAAACGAAACAGCAGATGAATGGGCTTTAGAGATTCCTGAGTCTGTTCGACCATTTACGCCTCTCCTCCAAGTCAAGGCTAGCGATGAGGACCCAGTATATGGTAGGCTTACTTACTCCATAGAAGGAGAGAAGAAAGGAGGGTTACTATTTGACATTGACTCAAGAACTGGAGAAGTGCGACTAGTGAGTGAGCAGGACTTTGAGACAGCTAGAAATCGAGCTATGACTGTGCCCCTCTTGGTCTCAGACAATGGAGGCCTATCTACACCGGGAAAGCTCATTTTCTACCTCAAAGACGTCAATGATAATCGTCCTCTGATACGCTTTTCTGGGGGTGAAAAACAAGCCGAGGTGGTGGAAAATAGTCAGTCCGATGTCTACATTGACTGCATATCAGTCAGCGATGCAGATTCAGGAGCGTATGGTCAAGTAGAGTGCTACCTCAAACCAGGCATAATTTCGGACCACTTCCAATTGACACGCCTTGGTGACAATCTGTGGGCCTTTCAGGCGGTGAAGCCGATTGATAGAGAGGCACTGGCGTCCAACATTGCCACTACCACTATCACTACCTCCACCCAAAATAATCGGTTCTACGCCCGTGGCACTCGAGTTGGAGTAACTGTGGTGTGTAACGACAATCCAGTTGCGCCTAAGGAGTACCAGTTTTCTGCAGAAGCCACTGTCCAAGTCACAATAATGGATGAAAACGATAATCCACCGCATTTTGTTGGACTTGGAAGAAGCAGTGCGAACGCGGATCCAATCATCGACGTAGCGGTTTCTGAAGGTCTCCCGCCTGGAACCCCTGTAATTCGCATTGCAGCTGAAGATCCAGATGTGGGGGACACTCTCACCTATGCTCTTTTCCCATTTGGTAACAAGAAATTGGCGATTGATCCTCTTTCTGGATTAATAACGACTCAGAGTGTATTTGATCGCGAAGATATGCCAATTCTTACTGGTTTTAAGGTGTTTGTCTTTGATGGCGGAGCTGCAAACCATTCCATTTCTGCAGATATGAGGGTAACCATTCTTGATCAAAATGACAATAGTCCCGTCTTTCACTCACAGACTGTCTTAACCGTTCCCGAAGATAAACCCATCGATAGCCTTCTCCATGTCATCAACGTGACTGACGCAGACGCGGGAGAGAACGGCACAGTAACAATATTCTTCACTCAACATCAGCGATCTCCAAATCCTTTCACTCTCCACCCAGATGGTCGTTTATTCTTGACCCGGCCACTGGACAGAGAGCGTCATGAGCACTATGAGCTGACTATAATTGCTGCGGACAAAGGAATCCCTGCTCTAAGTTCAACGCTAACTTTTGTGGTTCAGGTGGAGGATGTCAATGATTCACCTCCACGATTTGAACTAGCGGTAGGAAGCTTTCTCAAAACGGTGCCTTGTACACAGTCCTACGTTGCATTGGACATGGCGGCAACGGACGCGGACAGTCTACCCAAGAATACGGTAATAAACTATCGTATTTTGAACGTAAAAGGACCCCTTGGAGATTCATCGGGGCAAAAAGGTAACGCAGAGAAGGATAACTCAATATTCTACATTGAGCCTGACACCGGCGCACTTCTATTCCACGGTCAAAACAGTGAAATGTCCACTTCAGTTGATCCTTGTGATCGAACCGGGGTGTACCGTCTCACTGTCATGGCCTTTGATCCTCATCGACCAGAGTTAAATAGCAACGCAACAGTAACTCTCCACATTACTCGACCTCATGTGATGGAAGACGTGCCCACAGTTGAAACTGCTATCACAGAAGCCGGAAACGCTTCTATAGGGCTATCAAACTTTAATTCCCACTCCCTTGACCCACCTGCGGCTAATCGGTACGTCCATGGAGTAGCAGAAGCAGGTGGAGGAGGAGGAGAAAGCGGTGTTCGTTACGCTGGCGTTGGTAGTAGCAATGGAGGTACAGAAGAGGACACTGCATCAGTTCGTTCCAACCGTATGACATTCCTCGGAATCCTTCTACTCATTACCGTCTTTATTGGACTCACTCTCCTCCTCATTCTCCTTATCTACTTCATCAAAAAACGCATCGCCGTGGATGAAGGTGCCACTGTGGTCGGTTCGGGAGGAACAAGAGGAGAGGTACATGCCCTTCCACCTACCCAGTATCTCCCAGGGATAACCTTGAAAAAGGAGGACTTTCTGGCGGATACGTATTCGCCTCCCACCACCGTCTACGGAACTGCAAGGAGTACACGCAATGCGGAGCCCATAGAAAGTAAGTCGGTGGTTACCTATCGTTTATTTCCAGTTAATCTGAACATGTTAGAGTTCATGCATCTAAGTATGCATGCTGACCAATTTATTTCAATCAATAGGTCAGATCATCAGCAAAGCAGAATAGAAGAACGTCACAAGCTGGTCCTCATCACTGTTAAAAGACCTTGTAGTTGAGCAGCTGCTGTTCACCTTGCTGATTTCCACTAATTCTTGTCTAAAACTATAGCAGGGAGCAGCGATAGAACTTGACGACGATGTCCTACAGCTAGTGTTTACTTTAGCCAAATCCTTTGGTGGAAGCGTAGGTCTAGAGGGCAAATTGCGCGGAATTCTCGGTACCTACATATCACTAATTTATCATCACTTCTTTATTGTCACTCAGTTGTCACCTAATGACGTATCCTAGCCGTTAACTTCGGCTTTCTTCGCTCCTCCCCTTTGGGGACGGTGTGAATTTGTTATTATGTCTAAAACAGGCTTGTTGTTGATCAGTACAAACTTCACTCAACAAGAGCAAGGCCGATTTAAAGGGATCAGTCTAAAATGCAGGCATTTGAAAACCTACGATGGAAGAGGTGGGCTTGTGATAAGAATGGGTAAAGGCTTCGATAGTTAAACCAGACATCAGATTGTCCCAAAATAGTATTCCCCATTTTATTCCACGTACAAGAAAGTTGGTCTCATGACCATTAAAAAAAGGAGGGATGGGTATGCTGTTTACTTTTTAAATGAGGTGTAACCACCAAGAAGGAAGGACGGGAGAAGGTTATTCTCAAGTCTCTTGGTAGAACTACAGACAACAGCTCCCAGACACTCTCTGCTACGTCATAGTTAAACGAAGAATACGGTTTTGAGTGAGAGTCCGTCAAAGGGTAATGAAATTTTGTTCCTCTAACGGGTAGTATTTTCTCGACAGAGTTAAACTTATAAAGCCGATTTCGGCAGTATACGCGTTCCATTTGACGCAGTGTGGACGCCAAACATACATTCTTTAGCTTGCCCCACCTGACCCAGAAAGCGGTAGTGGTAGTGTAGGCTAAAATAATGACAAAACGAAGGAAAGCCTTCAGAATGAAATCGTGAGAAAGGAAAGGTTGGAGGGAAGTGAAGCTGATGGCATCAGAAGAGACGGAGATATGATTTGACCTTGCATCATCTGAGCAGTATCCTCCTCGTCATTTAAATCTTCCACAAACAGAGAAGAGAGACGATGGCTAGAGGTGATTGCGTTTACCTATTTTAAGTACCACAATAAAGCAGATTTTATCTCCCAAGGGGAACTAATGGGTGCCGCCAAGCATACATACGCATTAGGAGAAGTGAAAAAAGTACTCAACTTTCCCCATCTCTTTCTCATAGTGTTGTAGGTGCTGTTGTTGCGGCTTTAAGTGCAGCGATTATTTAGTCACTTGAGTACCCGTCTTCTCGCTGGTAAAGTGAAAATTCTCGTTGATTTGATCACACAAATATCACATTTCAAAACCTCGAAGTCTCAAGAAAAACCGTTGCTAAGGCACTCACAAGGATTCCATTTTATAAGTTGACAGCCTTATTTTCATTCAAATCGAATGCATCACTTAATAACAATGTACGCTTGGAACATATACTATCACTTTTTTGGGAACTTCGACACCCTATGTTAGCGTTATGAACAAAATTCTTTACTAAAATAACACGTAATTACATCGCCTTCGAAACAAATACATGGGATTATCAAAGATTGATTTGAAACAGTCTTCGCAGTGGTTCACTTTCAACTCATATACGACTTCCCCACTATCTTTACTTTGAATAAATTGTTGGCACTACCAGAAGCCGTAATCAATTTTCCACGGCTAGAGAAACATTTCGATACGGGTTTGATAAATATCTCACAAAAATGCAGTCTCCTTCACTAACGTGCAAACACCATGTCATTAAGGACATTGTTAAACAACCAAAAAGTCGTACGAATAAGTTACTTAATTCCAAATGCAATTAAAATGCCTTTATAAGGAGGTAATTTGGATGCAAGATGCGTTTCAGTGCAGCTAGCTTCCAAAAATGCAACTCTTGCCTTAATTTTTGCTCTTGTGCAGTCCTATGACGATTCATGTCTCTGCTACTTCCGATTCACTGATTCCCTTAGCGTCACACGTTCACCTAGTGAAATTGCTAAAAATGGAAGTCTCGTTAGTTCCGTGAACACAGTACATCGTGAGATCGGCAAATGGCAAATAACGAGTTTCACTTCACTTCAAGTCCAATTATAACTCACCCACAGTCGAATAAAACGGCCTTTTGCTGATCCACTTTGAAATTGGCGCCCACTAGTATGGGCTTTAAAACAACGTATTGACCAATGCAGTTGCAGATATAAGGCAATCGATACTGTGCTGTATGCAACATCGCCTACTTGGCCTGAGTGGCGCCATTTGGTAGTGACCGATTCCACATAAGTCCTCAGACAAGTTGTCAGATCGAATAATACTTTCATTTATAAGGTACTGCACGAGAGCACAACCAGCAGGCGGATTAGCCTTGCTCTCTCATTCCCGCTAACCTTTGATTTGCGATAACTGACTGTCACTTTAGACAATGATGATTGGCATAAAGTGGAGGTAAGCATACACCCACACCCATCCACCCTCCCACCCATCCACCCACACGCAAAGTCGCCCTTCCCCTTTTCGTCTGCGCAATATGGGCCAGCAAAAGACGCATGACTGATTCTTTGATTTCTGAGTGGGTAGGTAGTTAGAGTGGGTGAAGCGCGCTTCGCCTTTTTTGTTGGGAGATTTGTGCTGATGCGCCGTCTTTGAAGCTGCCAAATGAGGCGTGTCAGTGAGGGAGGGAGGGAGGGATGGGTTGAGGGAAAATCCTTAAAGCATGAAAACAAGCCTACACCAACACACCTATCCGACTGGGTTTTACAATGCACGCCGCTCTTGACCAACAAGACAACACAGACGCTCCTTCGTTCTTCTGGTGTGGAAAACACACTGGACAACTGAAC